CCTTGGCAAGTCGTGGTGGCCGGATGTGTGTCATCTCTCGCAGGGGGCACACACACCTTACACGCGTGGAATCCCGGGTGTCAAAAGTCCGGAGCGCGTGCGTTTGACTGGAGGACGCGCATGTTGGAGAGAACGTGGACACTCCTATAGGTCAATTTCTTCTTATAGGAAACTTCCGCCGCCGGCTTGCCCGGGAACCACTTGTAACCTTTTGCTAACCTATTTTTTCCATTGTTGTACTCATGCCTATACGGCTTTTCCAGCATTTTCGTAGGAATGCTCTTGGCAGGACCCCGCCCGCGACCATCCCGGGACCCAACCCTGCCACTACATTTTCCCTTGGGGTCGGCGGCTGCAGGCGGTAGCCTGGTAAATATATATAAATATGTCTGCATCTGGAAAATAGTCAGTAATATTCTTACAGATACTCGGAATATATTTGTTTAAGTACCTTGGCAACACACAACTTAGAACATCTAAAGATATCTACATGAGTGAACAGGCATACCCAAATGAGCTTGTGGTGTAGATATGTTAATAATAAAGGTATGCGCACGCAAATAAGCGTAAAAATATATTTACATATCTAAATATATGTTTATGCATGTTTGGCTTTCTTGGGAAACTGGTAACTTAGAACATTGAGTAGTTGAGGGTTATACCATACATAGGCGCGCACACAAGTACCTAGTGAACAGGCATACCCAAATGATCTTGTTGTGTATATCCTTGTATAAGAGTTTAAGTGATTACACCTGCAAGTCTACATGTATACATATATATACACATATTTATACGTATAAAACTTGACAAAATTCAACCTTACACTTTCAAAGCCAAGCGTCCGCTGATCGTTTGCCAGTTCCTCTACCTTGTCAGGTAGAGACATGGCGCGTTAGGAAGGTTATGATCTGGCCTTTGTTGCCCTTCGAGCCAGAACTCAGGCATATATACATAGTAAATCTATATACTGTCTATGAACTATAGTATCTATGGCATGTTCTATTAGTTGATGGTATCATGCTTTGCCATGCCATGATATCATGATATGGTGGTATATACAAGCTGCTGATGTTCTAAGTTTCAATGTTCCTTCAATGCTCTAAGTGTACGTCAAAAAAACGAACATCCCCAAACGATGTTCTAAGTTTCACCGCATCATTATACAGTCAAAATATCAATCTTGTGAAATTCTCTTGTGGTCTGACAGCTGTAGCGGAGCAATTAGGGTTCCAACAGCTTTGTGTCCAGAATCAGAGAGGTATTTCCCACACGCTAAACCAGACAGACCACCACCAATCACCAGGATGGATTTTGCTTTGGCCTGGTCGATGATTAGTGTCTATGGCGCGCGCGCACTTCTGAGTGTCACCGCATTCTGTTTGAAAAGAGTGTCAGCCACGCCTGGCCGTCCAAAGCTTTGAGCTTGTCTGCAAGCGCTTTGGCTTCAGCATAGTTTGCCGTTTGCTCAATGCCTTTGGGCTTTGGGAAGTCCTTCAAAGAAGTCCATGTCATTCAACAGACTGAACTAGATGGTCTTAGCAGCGTGCAGTCTCAGGGAGATCTACAGAATATATACAACGGTCCTCTGGAATGACCCATTCCCCAGTGCCAGGGTTCACTGTCCTTCCATTGATCAAGTTGGTTCCATTGTCTGTTACTGCAAAGCACGAAATAGGTCGTTCTAAAGCAAGGCAAACCACAAGGCATGAGGCTCTATACATATTTCTTTCTATCTCTCTCTCTCTCTCTCTCCTGAAACAGTTCCTGTATCTTTCCGTACCAGTTTTGGGCCTGGTTGGGGACGGAAGCGAAGGACAGGATTTGGCAAGCTTCCGAGCGCGTGCTCCACAAAGACCTTTCCAGCGCCAGCGACCACAAATTCAGCAGAACCTTAAAGCCTTCGTCTCGAAATTAACAGGTACCGAAAGCGGATATGCGCGCCTGCCAATGTTGCCGGAACCACCGGCCACCCAACACTCCAAATCCTCTGCGGCAGGTCAGGACCAAGAGGCGCACTTCTTCGCAGCGCAGCCCGCGGCGCTTGCAATGCTCTGGGGCTAGCGCGACATTGCCAAGCACTTCTGCTCTGCAAAAGAGGGGCCATTGCGACCGCTGTTGGAACTAGTTTGTCCACTTGGTTGCGTCAGGCAACACATGATCCGATACAACATCTGAGTCCAGAAAACTGTCGTGGTCCATGGTTTTTCTCAATGTTTGCTGCTCAATTCGGGAGTTCACACGCCCCGTTCTTGGTAATTTATTCAGTTAGTTTTGCGTAGATGCAATGATTGTATTAAAAAAATATGTTGTTTTTCAATCTACATACAGTATGCTATGTCTGCCTGTGCTTCTTTGGGGGGGCGCGAGAATCCGAAACAGCAACGCTTTCCTGATTTGCTGCGCGCACACACCTACGTAAGCATGTGGGCAAGATCCTCAAGGGTCTGTATCTCATTGCAGTTCTGCGCCGGAAAGAAGACTGCACAACCTTGCAGGAGCCGCATCCAGCGCATCAATACGCATCATATTCTGACATATAGTTCTGATATTGAAATTGCCGATTGGCTCACCTTTGTTGAAATCTCCAACATTCACATTGCACTTTTGGCAAATGTGACAAGGCGGGCATTGGAAAGTGCAAAGAGATAAAGAGATTGACTTTAGAATCTTGGATACGAAATGCAAATGATCTCGCGCGGCTTAAGTCTGGCGCCACCCTCAGGTGTCCAGGCATGATTCAAAACTTCAGGGTCTTGATTGATCTTAATCAATCTGAACCCAAGAAAGTGTGCTCAGCATCCAGCCAGCCCTCTACATGTGGCCCTCATGGTTTGGTGGCAGGTAAAGCCATCGGGCGGTAAAATACCTGTAAGGATGTAAGCGCCACTCGCCTCTAAACACGACAGGTACCCAGAACGGTCCCAAAATGCTAGGTTTATGCCATGGCCAATGCCCTGCCAGGTCATTAGGACGCCATCTGGAAAGGCAGCTCGCATGAGCTTGGCGCAGTAGTGAGGCGTGGTGCGGTCATACAAGGAGTTGACGATTAATGCTTGCACACCCGCACGAGAGCCGAACATGACCGGTGTGGGTTCACCTGGCCAAGTCAGCAAACCAAAACCAGCCTTGATGTTGGCAAAGTACAACTCCACCCCATGGAATTTTGGCTTCAACTCATGGAAAAAGAGCATGGCACCCGCTGGCGTGTAACGGCCAGCGTAGTCCATTGCTCGGACTGCACTTTCAGTGACACCACCGTCTAAGTCAGTGTTGGTTGAATACATCATGTACTCTGCACAATAACCATACTTCTTCCATTGGTCTTTGCAGTTGTACTTGAAAACATTGAGGATTGCTTTCTGGCGGGCTAGGTCGTTGGAATCGCCAAGGGTGTTCGTGATTTGCAAAGCCTTTGCCCATGCTGGCATCGTCCCGTTAGACAAAGGGAGAAGTTGTAAAGCATGCTGGGAGTCAACACAAATCTTCTGCCCACATCTGTTGGGGCTGAGTAAGCATCTGGAACCTCCAAGAAGAAATCCACAGGCCAATGCCTGGCTGTTTGCATTTTGATGACATGTCTCCGCCAACGAGCTGTTCATTGCGGCATATCTTGACAAGCTTCACCATGACCTGGCGGGATGCGACAGCTGCCGAAGCACAATAGTCTTCCACATTTGGTCCCGGATGGACATTGCCATTCAAGAGAAGCTTGTCAGTGTTCTTGGGGAATACTGCCGCATAGGCAGATCCCACTGCTGCGCCGTAACTGATTCCAGTGACGCTAAGCTTCTCTGCCCCGAAGGCCTGCCGAAGTCTATGTATGTCATGCGCCATGTGCCCCGTCCCAACGTAGTCCAGGAAGTTGTACGTGGATTTGCTCTCTGGATCAGTCACCTTCCAAAAGTCGGAGTCGTAGCAATTGCGGTTTCCGGAAGCTGCAAATCGAAACCATTGGTCCGTCTCCGACTCATTGTCGGGATCAGGAAATGGGCTTGGCACCTGTTGGCCATACTCTGCCAAGTCGCACTCGCAGCTTGTGAAGTCCTACGAGCATCGAAGAAAGCTGGGAACAAATTGGGTTCGTCTATATAGTTCCTGTACTAGGCTATGGCATACATATACTCATAATTACTTATATATATACATACATTGAGATTTAGCAGAGCACCAAAAGCCAAAAAAAGAAAAACCTGTGTACCCCCGTCGTCTCAGTACCTGAAGAAAGCTTGACCACGCCGATTTTGCAGAGAAAAACTAACGTAGAACATAAGTGGATTCAAGCCACATGACACGGCATTGCAGGGAGGCTTAACATGGAAGCGTTGGATATCCCAAATGCAAAAAGATGGGTAGCTTCGCAAGTTCCACGTTAGCCTGGGCAAGCGCGGAGAAAAAAGGCCGCTCGCTTTGACTCAGGAAGTTCTGTTTGTCGCCTACAGCCCCGGGCTTTACACTTGTATATACTTCCCCCCAAAAAAGACACTAGCCATGGCATAGGGTGCTCTGACGTGGCTCCTTCAGTGAATAGTGGTGTGATGCTTGCCATCGCATACCGCCTTGAACTGCTTCGTCAAGACTTTCACAGGCCACTGATTGCCCGGGCTACTGTCCGACATGCCCCGCTGCTGAATTCCAAGCAGCGTGTACTTCTGATCGATACCTTCATAAAGATGATTTTTTTCGAGGCCAAACCATCCAGATTTAAGGGGACCATAATCGTCCGCCGCGGGCCCACCATTGTGTTGGAGAAGCAGTGGAGCATCAGGGCCAGAAGCACCAATCATCGCAGACACGCGAAGCTGAAGTGTGATGTTCGAGGCTGGCTTTGTCTTGTCGAGGTCAAGGGGAACCTTCAAGTAGCCGATCTTGATAGTCCGGAAGTCGCTCTCTGTCAGATCAGAGAATTGCTCAATCTTCTGTTTTTCTCCTCTTCACTGCAAAGCTTAGTGGGGGTTGTTCTGACCTCATATGGTTGGTGCGCAGGATATCGCAACGCGATCTCCAGTAGCCAGTACGGCGCCACTCGAAGATGCTGGGGTTAGGGTTGCTCAAGCTCCACAAGCTCGGCTCATCCGACGCCTGAGGCTCCAACTCCAATGGCGGCAAAGGCAAAGGCGGTGCTTGCTTCAACTTCATCACAAGCATCTGGAACCACATCCCCCAGGGCCAGGACAGCAAGCTGCAGAAGCCACGTCTTGCAAGTGCCGAGCTGCCACCGCTACAGAAACCTGGATGCTATAGCTGCAAAGGCTGCAGTCAAGATTGGCGTTGCCAGGTAAAGACCTGATTAAAGAAAACAAATGATCTGCATCCGCTAATTTGCCGCGCGCTCGCGCACACAGAAATAGGTCATGGTAGGCACAAGCATCTGTAGCTCATTGCAGTACTGTGCGAGAAAGGAGCCACTGAACGATTTTCCACAACCCGCATCCAACGCCTCATATTGACATTGCCTACTTCCTTGGCTTTGTTGGAATCTCCACCAGGATAGCAAAGCCACACACTCCTGCTGAACCGCAGAAGTCTATTACAGCGCTCGAGCGCAGTGAAACAAAAGAGTGAGACCTTGTAGGGATACCAGCTTGCAGGAAGCATCAAAGACTCCACGAAGGTAAGTAAGCAGTCAAGTCTGCAAATACACAGTTTCTCGGCTTCACAATGTTTCGCACGCGGGAATCCCTGTGCTGTGCAAGAACTACAAATTCAGAAAGACCTGCCTCCAGCCTGACAGGCCCAAGCACAAGAATGTTCAGCCAATCGAACCCACCAAAATGTGTCACTTGAAACTGTCTGTGCATACTTGAGGCCGAGGGTAGGTGACGAAAGCTAGAAGGGATGCATCGGTGTCAGTGGAGGCGAAGCATACAGCGCCGTCCAGTGACAAAGGACTGGTGGGACATCAAGCGGAGTGAGGCAAATCTTTTTTCATAGGCATGGGGCTGTTGGAGGGATGGTTCACAAGGTCTCGCTCATGAGGTAAAAAACGTTGTGAACATGTAAGACACACGAACAGCAATGACACAGCCAACCTTAGCTTGTGAATCTGTTGAATCTGTTGCATCGTATCCCAAAACCTCCACGGAGGAGTTGAACCAAAGTGGAGGCGTCCCAGGGCGGAGTTGAACCCGCGCGGGGTGGGGGGGGGCCCTCTACATGTGGAGTTTTCACGTGATGCGGCGATCTCGAGGATTCCAGCCCCTCACTTGCTAAAACAAGGACAACTCCAGCTAGCTGGTGCTAGCTTTCGTGATCAGGAGTCCTCTGCACAAAGCGTTAGCTCACTGAGGCTGAGGCTATGAAGGTTCTGCACCTGCTCCGTTTGCATTGGACGGCTACCGCTGAAGCATTCTCGACTTTCTTCACTATTATAGAAGTGTTTGCTTGAGTTTGGTACACCTCTCAGACAGTAGGCCTCGAGTTTCACCAGCTTTGCTTGCAACTGCCTGGGAAGCACTTGAAGTGGAATCAAGCCAACATTCAAAGAAAATGCTGGATTACCCTGTATATTGAATCGTTCTGTGCTGCATTGCCGTGGTATGCATGTAGTGTGCGTATAAAAATAGGATACCACTTAGCTTAGGCAAACGTGATCCATTCTCGGTATTGCAAGCATTGATGTCTTTGACGCGATTGCTTTCATCTGCCTGCTGGATGCACAAAGCTATGCGCTCACAGCAGGCATTGGAAGCATCCTCCCAGGCCTGAAGAGAGAGCTCGGAAGAACTTGCAGCGACGGAAAAAACTTCACCACAGCTCATGGCCTTCACACCACCAGAAAGACTCCTGCTGCGGCTGGCAGTTGCATAGCCTCAAAGTTTATTGCCCACATCTAAATTGTATCTGGGAGTTCCAAAAAACACAACACTTCCAAGGCCTCCATCGCGCTTTCTAGACAAAGCCAGTAGGCGCCGCCGGAAAGGTCCAGTCACCACCTCCATACCAAGGTCCAGGAAAGCAAAACAAAACGCAGTACTAGCAGATTGCATTGAAAACCTGCGCCTGGCAGAGCAACTGGGTGTCAATGAGAGAGGCCAGTTTCAATGCCTCCAAGGAGAGTTCAGTTCTGGAGATTTGGGCCAATCAGGGTCCAACCTAGTGCCTCAGTCCTGATGAATCTATTTCGGTCAAGCATGATCGTTTGATTTGAGAACTCAAAACCTAACAGAACAAAACTCAACTCATTCATTCTATGTTCTCCTGTTATTTTAACAATTAAAGAAAGATTGAACTCTGCCTGTGTCCGAGAGTCCACCGGCATGGCGAGCTCCTCATGAACAGAGCGGTGGGATGTTCCGCAAGGACAACGACAGGCAGACGTTACAAAACCCGGCCTTGCCATGCTCCAACGCCAGGGCAAACGACATAACTCGCTCCAGAATGCGGGCCTCCCCGCAGAAATGACAACCCAAACACGTCATACTCCAACTGCATGCGTTCACGATTTAGTTGAAATCTTTTGTGTGTATCATACCTTTTGCCTATAGCCTGTAGCTATGCCACAGGCTGGAAAGGAATAAAAATGCGAAGTGTTGCACAGATTATTAGCTGCAGCTTTAGCAGGTCAAATTCCTCCTTTATACTGCGCGTTGCGGAGTTCTTTCAAAATATAGAAAGCGGCGCGGCCATTCTACAAGTCGGCAAAAGTCTACAATATCGTTCCAACTTATGTCGACACCACAATGTTGTTTTTGCGTTCCTCTCATGTTGCACTTCAAGAAGGCCAGCCGCACAGGGGCTGTAGACAAGTTTGATGCATGTTTGCTCGCCCTTGGTGGATGAAGAAAAGCATGTGCAAAGTAGCTATGGAGTCAAGCTGCTGCTTCTTTGTTCGCGAAGCTCTTGGGTTCAGGCTCTGCCAAAGCGAAATCCAGAAGCTGGGCGACCAAATCGAAGATGACCCCCTTCTGGGACACTGAGATCTCAGGGCAAGTTTGGCAATGTGCACAAGTTGAGCACCGTATGAAGCTGGTCAATCCGCATCAACTTCTTGTCATCAGCTAGACCATATAGAGACATTGAATTGAACTTTCAATCAAATTGACAGGGATATGTCTGGACCTAGTGGTAAGGCTTAGACTTAAACATACTTAAACTTAAACTGTGAAATTGTCTTTGAACACAAAAGTCTTCCCTTCAGAGCACCAAAGACTGGTTACTTTGTCACTCTGCTAGCCTCTGGCAGCAAGGCTCCCTCACTGCGCTCGAGTAGCGCACAAAGCCGAGCCTCAAGAATGCATCTTGTCTCGTCTACCTTCACTCCTTCTTCCCTCCTGTTCCTTTCTTTTGAGAGCTCGACGTTATGCGGGTGTGGTTTTTACGTGCTTTTGTGGTGTTTTTCTTAGATTTTGTCATGCTTAGTCAGAGTTTCCATGGTTATAGTCTAGATATGTTCTTGTGCTCCTGTTTCCTAAACAAAACCAACTTTTCTTGTTTAAAAAACCTCTGGATCCAACTCTACCCTTCCTTGCCCATAAGCATTCTCATTGTTTCAAAGGTAGCACTTTTTGGGCTTCTCCCTCCACATTCTTTATGAAATGGGCTTCTCCCTCCACATTCTTTATGAAATGGAGAGAAGATCATTATCTTGAAACACAATGTGCCCACCACGCCCAACAAAAGTTGAGAAACTTGCTTAGTAGTACTGGACCTGGATGACTGATTGGAATTGGGTTTTGCATGGCCTTCTTGACGTCCATACCCATAATAAGCCTCATCCTCATTCTCAGGGTCACTTGGGAGCTCACATCCTATCCCACAAATTCGATTGGACCAATCCTGCTCATCTCCACTGCTCTCACCCAATGGCTCTTCAGATCTATGCTCCATATCCCCCCATCTATGACGAAATCTTCCAAAGAATCTTATGAAGCCCATGGAATGATCCAGCCTTAGATACACTGAGGGTCTGAATTGGCTGTGTGGCCACTCCTCATTCCCAAGGCTACCTTCTCTTCACCCTAACCTTCTTGCCCACACATAGACATACATGAAGTCAGGTTGTACCAAACCTGGCATGCTCAGCATGCTCCCAATATTCACCCAACATTGCCAAGGACATTCTCGCGATGCCACCCAAGCTCAAAACCTCATTGGACCTCACCAACACCCACCCAAAAGTAAACCAATAGGTTGTGCAAAAAAATTGCCCTACCAATAGCATGAATCATAAGGAGCAACCAATGTTGTACCCAAATGGTTCTGATCTTCCATTGGGCCACCTAATCATGCACAAACCCATTTGCACCAGGCATTCCATGGACCCCATCCCCATCATTGATTGCCCAGCAAGTTTCCCTCTCACATGGTGCCCATGTGTTCTTGGAGGACAATCAAACCCAATCGAAGCACCATCCATATTGTGCTGCTGTCTAGAGCATTTGCTCAATGGCTTGTATGGCAAAACAATTTGCTCAAAGTCAGGATCCCAATCTCTCGTGCCCAGGTGTTGCATCTACGCAACCGCCTTTGGCCTCAAATGAAATTGCACGCATACAGCCACAAGCCCAATGCCAGCTGTTTGATGCACCCAATGCTTCATCTCATCTCATCTCATCTCATTTCATCCACATTGGAAGTTCCATTTTCCTATGCTCTCTAGCTATATGCCCATCTCTCTCTTTCATTGGATATCTTAAGCCATCAAATCAAGACAATCTTCCACACTCCATCATTGAGAC